TCAATAATAGTTTTAAAAGACCATATTCTATGGGCTCTGACTGTTTCTTTCTGGCCAGCTAAAGTTTATTTGTACTATTACAATTTAGGCAGGTGTGGATTTGGACAATAAACTTTCTTTTGCAAAATTGCCAACACAAACATTAAACATTATTATGAATATAAACTTTCTATACGGGAGAGCAAGACAAAACAAAACAAAATTGATTTAAGATTTATTCTAATCCAATTTATGCAGAAAATTGTAAATCTTTTTTTTTTTATTAAAGCTAAAACATAAGAAATGTTTATTATTATAATAATTTTAGCAAAACCATGTTATTTTATTCTTTAAACAGTTTATTTACTCTATATTAAATTACAACTATAACTGTACTCTGACATGGTTTATGGTTGTTAATTCAAAGCTGAGATATAAAGAATAGAAAAAAATCTAATTTGTCTGCAACAGAGGAACTTTTTCTATAGAAAGTTGTCTTTTACAGAACCAATTTTTTATATTAAAAAGTTTTTTGTAACAGAACATATTCTTTTATTGAAAAGTTGTGTACAACAAGAACCACAAAGAAAGCATATTTTTCTATAAAAAAGTTGTCGGAAACAGAGCGTATTTCTCTATAGAAAAGTTATCAGCAATATCAGCAACAGACCATCATTTTCTATAGATAAGTCATCGGAAACAGAGCACTTTCTATATAGAAAAGTTCTAAAGAAATGTTGTCTGGAGCAGAGAAAATTTGTCTATAGAAATGCTCTCTAGAACAGACCCTATTTTCTATAGAAAGTTTGTCTATAACAGAGCAACGTTTTCTACAGAAAAGTTGTCTTGTAACAGAGCAAACTTTTCCTATAAAAAAGTTGTCTGTAACAAAGCAACATTTTCTATAGAAAAGTTGTCTGTAACAGAGCAACTTTTTCTATAGAAAATTTGTCTGTAACAGAGCAACATTTTCTATAGAAAAGTTGTCTGAAACAGAGCCACATTTTCTATAGAAGAGTTATCTGTAACAGATCAACATTTTCTATAGAAAAGTTGTCTGAAACAGAGAAACATTTTCTATAGAAAATTTGTCTGTAACAGAGTAACATTTTCTATAGAAAAGTTGTCTATAACAGAGCAACATTTTCTATAGAAAAGTTGTCTATAACAGAGCAACATTTTCTATAGAAAAGTTGTCTATAACAGAGCAACATTTTCTATAGAAAAGTTGTCTGTAATAGAGCAACATTTTCTATAGAAAAGTTGTTTGTTATAGAGCAACTTTTTCTATAGAAAAGTTGTTTGTTATAGAGCAACTTTTTCTATAGAAAAGTTGTCTGAAACAGAGCAACATTTTTCTATAGAAAAGTTGTGTGAAACAGAGCAACATTTTCTATGAAAAGTTGTCTGAAACAGAGCAATTTTCTCTATAGAAAATTGTCTACAACAGAGCTACTTTTTCTATACAAAAGTTGTCTGTAAGAGAGCAACTTTTTCTATACAAAAGTTGTCTGTAAGAGAGCAACTTTTTCTATACAAAAGTTGTCTGTAAGAGAGCAATTTTTTCTATACAAAAGTTGTCTGAAACAGAGCAACTTTATCTATAGAAAAGTTGTCTGAAACAGAGCAACTTTATCTATAGAAAGTTGTCTGTAAAAGAGCAACTTTTTCTATAGAAAAGTTGTCTGTAACAGAGCAACTTTTTGTATAGAAAAGTTGTCTATAACAGAGCAACATTTTCTATAGAAAAGTTGTCTGTAACAGAGCAACATTTTCTATAGAAAAGTTGTCTGTAACAGAGCAACATTTCCTATAGAAAGTTGTCTGTAACAGAGCAACATTTTCTATAGAAAAGTTGTCTGTAACAGAGCAACTTTTTCTAATGAAATGTCGTCTGTAAGAGATCAACTTTTTATATAGAAATTTCGCATTCGCCTGTTTGAATACGCCTTAGTGTAAGTCCAATAAAAACTATGCTGCCATATTATTTAGCTAAACGGCTCGCCAATTAACAAATTATTTTGACTTTCAATTTGCAAATTAACACATCATTTGGCAAGTTAGTTTTCTTATTTTGTTCACTCTTTTATTTATTTTAAAATTGTTATCTTTATGATGCCGCCATTTTTCACTGGGGAAATTAACAATTTCATGCAACTACGATATTTGTCAAATGTGAAAAATTTTAAAAAGAAAAAAGTAAAAAAAAACATATAAATTGCCAAAGTAATATTTTTGCTTTATCATGTTTAAAGTTTTTGCACTAAAAAAGATAATAGACAAAAAAACTATGTAATCTGTCAGTTTTGAGCGGAAAAACATGACATAATTTTTCAACATAATTTAGTTAATTGTACTAAATTATAAAAAAAAACTACTTTGGCGGCATAATTTAAATTAAATAAGATTTTTGTTTCGTATTAATAAAGTTGTAGAGTTTTGATAAAATTTGCACAGTTAAATCGTTTAGCTTTTGATTTAATTGTTAAATTTAGTAATTTAATGCTGTTTAGACGGCTTTTTGTAAAATTTTAAAGATGCATTTATAATTATAAATATATTGCAATGGTTTTTGCATTAAAAGATTTAGCGAAAAGTAATAAAATTTGGGATTAACCCATCTGGTAACTTTTCTTAATATAAATCCTTAATTGGTAACACTGTTTTCCTAAGTAAGTAGTTGCCAGATGAATTATTTCATTTAATTGGTTTGGTTTCAAGCTTAAGTGATTTTAACTTATTTATCAATTATTATTTATTTATAAAATTGTAAATTAATTATAAACTCTTTACAAAAAACATTTTACAAAATTCTTTCTTAGTTTTTTTTATTAACACAAAACGGTAAATGACCAGTTACTTATTAGCCACGAATTAAATAAAAGAAACGAAGCGTTAAAAATTTGTGTTTTCTTCTATTTAATTGTTAATTAAAAACAAATAAATAATTAACTAACATATTTTTAAAACAGTTAAGAAAAGTAAGAAAAAAATAAAAATAGCGAAAGGCCCACCATTATTAAAAGAATTTAAATAATTTTACTTAAGGCTTTAAGGAAAAAAATTACAAAAATTTTAATTAATACTTGCAGTTATTATAAAAATTTTGTTAATAATTTTAAACTGTTTCTTTAAGAATTTAATTGTTAACAAATTTGTGGCAATTAAAATTGAAGTGTAAACAAATGTTTTTAAAATATGTAAATTTTTTTTATTAAACGGAAGTTTTAAGACCCAAAAGAAAAACCTCTTTAATTAGTGTAAAGAAATTGTTTTCAATATTTTCTTTGTTTTTGTTAAATATAGCTTACAGGGTCTAAATATTACCATGAGTTTTATTTTTCTTGTTTTTCTAAAGTAAATTACGTTAATAAAGGGTTTCCAAATACAGTTGTTATAACTGAAATTTCTGGTTTTCGACTAAATTTAATAAAATACTTAAAAAATTCCTTTATTTTTAAGAAATTATTAATGATTTTAGTTCCCTCGAATTCTTTATAAAACTGCCCAAATCCCGGGAATTGAAAAATGTTGTGACTTTAAGAAACCCTAACCGTAACATCTATTAATAAACTTGGTTTAATATCATGGGAAATTTTGTTATTTTTCTGTGTTTTTTGTTTAGTTTAGGTTTCTTATGATGAAAAACTATGATTACATAGAGTGTAACTATTACATATTCCAACATACTGTATAATAAATCTTAACCAAGTATTATTATACTTCCACAACAACTGCTCAGAGCCATGATATCTGTTTTGATATGCATTATATTACAAACATACCTATATACGAGGGCTGTGCAGAAAAGATTGGTTATATATTCAGATAGATAGATAAGATAGTAGATAGATAGATAGATAGATAGATAGATAGATAGATAGATAGATAGATAGATAGATAGATAGATAGATAGATAGATAGATAGATAGATAGATAGATAGATAGATAGATAGATAGATAGATAGATAGATAGATAGATAGATAGATAGATAGATAGATAGATAGATAGATAGATAGATAGAGATAGATAGATAGATAGATAGATAGATAGATATAGATAGATAGATAGATAGATAGATAGATAGATAGATAGATAGATAGATAGATATAGATAGATATAGATAGATAGATAGATAGATAGATAGATAGATAGATAGATAGATAGATAGATAGATAGATAGATAGATAGATAGATAGATAGATAGATAGATAGATAGATAGATAGATAGATAGATATAGATAGATAGATAGATAGATAGATAGATAGATAGATAGATAGATAGATAGATATAGATAGATAGATAGATAGATAGATAGATAGATAGATAGATAGATAGATAGATAGATAGATAGATAGATAGATAGATAGATAGATAGATAGATAGATAGATAGATAATAGATAGATAGAAGATAGATAGATAGATAGAATAGATAGATAGATAGATAGATAGATAGATAGATAGATAGATAGATAGATAGATAGATAGATAGATAGATAGATAGATAGATAGATAGATAGATAGATAGATAGATAGATAGATAGATAGATAGATAGATAGATAGATAGATAGATAGATAGATCGATAGATAGATAGATAGATAGATAGATAGATAGATAGATAGATAGATAGATAGATAGATAGATAGATAGATAGATAGATAGATAGATAGATAGATAGATAGATAGATAGATAGATAGATAGATAGATAATAGATAGATAGATAGATAGATAGATAGATAGATAGATAGATAGATAGATAGATAGATAGATAGATAGATAGATAGATAGATAGATAGATAGATAGATAGATAGATAGATAGATAGATAGATAGATAGATAGATGATAGATAGATGATAGATAGATAGATAGATAGATAGATAGATAGATAGATAGATAGATAGATAGATAGATAGATAGATAGATAGATAGATAGATAGATAGATAGATACCAAAAGAAACAGTCCCCTTTGTGTGTTTTTTCACAATTCCTCAATTCATTAGTTAATTCCTTCAACAACCCTCGTACATTCGCTGCATTTCATCATGCACTCATTCATTCACTTATTTAAGTCATATACACTCATTTGTTTATTCATTAAACATCATGCATATTGTAATTAAACATTTCTTGTTGTTGCTGCTGATGTTGTTAAGAAATTGTTAAAGAAAATACCGTTAAAAGCGTAATTTAACTTTAAACTTTAAATGAAACTATACTAGTTACAAAGGAATGCAAATTTAACTTCTTTTTTAACACACAAACAAAAACACTTCATAACAACAATAATTTATTAATATATAATGAAAATTGTTGCTAATCTTAGCTATTTATTTTATTATTATGATTAATTTGTTATTTTCTTTTCATAAGAAAAACAATTAATTGCAACAATGTCTTTAGCAGGTTATTGTTAAATTAATGTTTTGACATTAACAATGTTTGTTTACCTTTATTCGTCATCATATTCATTCACTTACATTGTTGTCATCATGTTACCATACCTATATTTATTTTAGCGTTTTTTTTTTTTTTTCTACTCTCTACATAATTGCCGGACATCCTTTGAAGTTTTGTAACTACACTGCTAGAAATATTGTGTGTAAATTGTCATGTTTTAATTGTCATTGCCTTTTATAATTTTAGTCATTTATTTTTAACAATATTAAATTGTTGAAGTTGCATCAACCTGTTGTTTAAATAAATTGAATGTTATTAATCAATTAGCGGCTTTTTTTTCAGTTTAGTATTGCTGTTTGTCATATAAATAATTTATTTCATTTATTTTAATGAACATTATTATAGTGTGTAGATAGATAGATAGATAGATAGATAGATAGATAGATAGATAGATAGATAGATAGATAGATAGATAGATAGATAGATAGATAGATAGATAGATAGATAGATAGATAGATAGATAGATAGATAGATAGATAGAGATAGATAGATAGATAGATAGATAGATAGATAGATAGATAGATAGATAGATAGATAGATAGATAGATAGATAGATAGATAGATAGATAGATAGATAGATAGATAGTAGATAGATAGATAGATAGATAGATAGATAGATAGATAGAAAGATATGTAGATAAATAGATGGAAAGGTTGATAAATGGGCAATTACCTTAGCCCCATGAATCTCTATAAAATAGAAAAGTTTATTAATAAAAATATTTAACATCTTCCCTGGAAGAGAAATTTATTGAATATTTTAAATAATTGTAAAAATTTATTTCAATTCTAGTAAAAACTTTTATATTCCAAACATTGTATTTATACGAAGGCATTGCTAATTTTCTGTTTGAACCATTAATTTAAGTCCAATCCAAAAAAGAAATATTTCCTTTTCAATTAAAAACATTTGTTACAATTTTCCCCATTCAAGAGAAGATAAAAATGCAATTGATAGCAAGCGATTAAAATTTGATTTCAAACCATTTTTTTAATAGCAAATGTATTTCAAACTCTTTAAGTATTTTTCAAAATGACAACAATTTATAGTGTTTTTAGGCAATTATGTTGTTATTTTTAATAAGCTGCTCTTTCTCTTACTCTCCCTACTCTAGCAGAGATAACGCTACTTTAATCGATAAATTAGTTTGTTAGAGATTGTAGTAAAAGTATCTGCTTTACATTCAGAAACGTTAACTATATGTGTTGGGTCCTGCTTTGGGTTTTTTTCCTTAGTTAATTGAAATTTAATGTTTTTCAGTTTATCTTTTGCTCTCAATTTTCAAAATGTGTGTAGAAATGTTAATACAATTGTATGTTTATTTTATTTATAACTGTTTTGATTTAACAACAAGTATTTTTTTTTTTACAAATGATGAGTATAACTAAATTTTAATGGTCTCGTGCCTGTTTTTTTTTTTTCAATCGTTAAGGAATTGAATTGTAAATAATGTTACAAATAATTTTTTAAGAGTGGGCCGCATGTTAATGATTATAATGTCTATTTATTTTTTATAAATCATTTGCAATGGCTTTTTTCTTTTGGTTTATATCTCTGGTAAACGTATAAATTACTCCTTTTAGTCAAATTGTTGTGAAAAAAATAACGATTAGATTAGAAAAAATGAAAGTTTAACCTTGGTTTCTTCTCCGTTTTTGCAATTCTTCATTAAAGTTAATTGCCGTTAATTTACACTTGTTATAATTAGTTACAAAAATATGTACAAATGTCTCTTGTAGATAAAAAAAGAAAATTATTTTCTTTTTAAATAAAATGTTTAACTGTCAAGTTGTGGCAGTCTGTAGAAATATATCTTTTCATCGTTTGTACTTGTAAATCTTTAACTTTTTTTAATTACTGGTCTAAAATTATGACCACCTGTTGACCAAAAGATGTCATGGTATTTAACGTTTCTCATTAATTTATGTTTTTCTACTAATCCTTGTCTTTCGGTTTATCATGTTTCTTCGGTTTACATTTAACAAGACATTTGTTACATTTTTGTTTTTTTTTTTTCTTTAGTATTTTGACAGAAAGTTGTCTATGGTCTAATACATTTTTTGATTTTCTAATTATTTATATATGTTGCTTGCTAATTTGATGGTTTGTTAGTTACACTTACAGAATTATTTAAAGTTGTTTAATGAATGACAGTTAAAATTTCTTTTCTATAGAAAATATTTGCTAGGTTAAGTTATATAATACACATTTATTTCTCCAAGTGTATTTTTCACGCCAAAGAGCTGCTTTTTCTATTATTTCTTCATCTCTAGGTGTTTACTTTTTATTAATTTGTATTGAAAAATGTGTGAAATGTAAATCTGACAATTTAGCAAACAATTACATCTGTCAATTTCACAAATTGGTTAATTAAGTAACATAAAACTAGCTTTTATTTAACTTAAAAATTTGTAGATAAACCCTGAGCAGTTTAATAATAGGTCTCAAACACAAAATAGAAGATTTGAAAACGACACCTAGTCCTTAATTAATTATACTAATTGTTTATTATATTTCAATATTATTATATTGCCTTTTACTAGCTTAAATATCTTATCGCTCACTTCTCATCTCCATATTAATTTTACAAAATACACCAAAAATAACCTAAATTATGTTTAAACTTAAAGCAAATAATCATTACATGTGTATAAACAATTAAAAACCTAAAATTATTTTAATACAATCAATTAAAAAACCACAAACAAAAAAATGTAAACATTAAAAAAATAGAGAGGACCCCATTGAATAAAACTGCACATGAACACATGCAACTCTGTAAATAAGCATTAGTGATGGCGATAACAATCAGTGATGGGAAATCAACAAGTTTAATTGTTTAGAAGTATAGGTAGGTCAACTATGCAGTTTTTCATACATTCATTAATACGTTCAGTGAGGCATATAGTATATTAAACAAAAAAAACTAAACGCGTAAGTTAGCAGCAAATTATTATTAATGATTCTGCTTTTTTTTTTCTTTCTTTTACAAAGACAAAAACCGAAAAGTTGTAATGAGTTGTCGTGGTCAGACTGGGTTAAAAAGAGCAAATTGATTTAAATGGAAATTAGTTAATGTTATTGTTTTAGGCTATTCTTTTGTCTGTCAAACGGAAATGTCATTAAACATATTTTGAAAACATTGTTACTTTTAAATGCGTTTTAAACTGAACAATTTCATATTTTTATGATGAGTTTTTTTTTTTGTTTTGAAATTATCTACTAAAAACATGGTTGTTGTTTAAGTTTAAAGAATTGCAGTTCTAGAAACAACACATACATACATACATACGTTTTATGATTATTAAGAAAAGAAAAAGTTTTAGTGTCATGGTAATAAAACGGGTTAGATCTTTTTACGAAATAGTATGTGACGAACATGTGGTTCTTATTAATTTGTTAAAACATAATTTGAAGAATTTTTAAAAAACTTTAATTCTTTCCAAAATCTTTGTTTAGAAAACTACATAGAGGGGAAAAAGGTACCTAAATGTTAACAAACGTGGTAAGCTCACTATTTACAAACAATCCGTTGCCAATAGTGAGCTTACCACGTTTGTTAACATTTACACAACGGATGTGTATAAAATTTAGATTTCAACAACGACGTTATCAACATTACATAGTGTTGTCGTACGTATGTATATACATACTTCGACAACGGATGTTATTGAAAACTTATAAACTCTTTGGTGTCAATTTGGTACCAGGCGTGTATATTTCCTTTTCCCTCTGTGTACAGAAAATCACAGAATTTTCTATTCCTTTTTGGCTATTCAAACTTTATTTAAATTAATTTCTTATTTGCTCTCGTCTAAACTAAATATCACTAATAAATATCATACCAAATTGATAGCATAATAATTGTAAATTAAAGAGTAAATAAAAACTAAACATCTTTTGAATCTAATGTTTTTCGACTGCTTTTGATAATGATGATAAACAGCATTAAATTTTATTGCAATTGAATTTATTTTTAGAGAAAAAAAAAATTGCAAAGAAAGCTAAATAACAAAAAAAAAATGCACTAAAATTAAACATCTGTGCAATAAGTCCGTCAAAATGTATTAAAGAAAACCCACCTCACACAGCTGCATTTTAAAGACAATTTGCTCTGGGTATTTTTGTGGGCAATTTTCAAACGAAAATTGATGTTTAAAACTCCTCTGCTATTGATGCTGAGTGGCAAAAACAAATGTCAAATGTGTTGTAGCCAATATTGAAGAGCAGAGCTTTAAATGAATGACAAGTTAAATCTTTTTAATAATTTTGATTAAAAATAGTTGACCATACGGATTAAGGAAATAATAGGGGTTCTATAAATCGATAGTCTAACTATCTTGTAAATGTCGAATAATCGATTTTATAGACAAAAGTCGAAAGAAGTCAAAATGGGTCGAAAAAGTTGTAAAAAGTAAAAAATTTACCTCTCTAAAAAGATGCAATTCTTTTAGAAAACTTTAAGCTTTTAACTTAAAAATGCTAATGTAGCTTGAAGGCTTTTTATAAAGATCATATTGAGGATTCTTTCTCTCTCTCTCTCCCCGATGATCATCAACGTCAGACAAAAACATTAAATGGTGTTGAAGTTAAAACAGCAGTGGTAGTCGACAAACGAATCTATAACATAGTAAAGTTTTTTTTTAAAGTAGCAAAAAACATTTGGAGTTTAAGGAAGGAGTTTGTTGTCCGTCCATTCCCCTATAAATATAAATAGTTTTAAAGATTATAGATGGTATAAGAGAGTTAATATTAAATGATGTTGATGATGCCAAGTTGATGTCTCTGGCATCTAACTGGTCGTTTGTCTGTCTATTCCATTAAAAATGCTGCCTGTTTGAAATCTTCATATTTACAATGTAGTGTGTGGGGGTATTTTATTGAATGGATTTAAATTGATCAGTAAAATGAAAAACTTTTTTTTTAGTAAAGACAATTTGCACAATATTTTGTATTGATTACTTTTTGTAATAATTGCTTTTAACTACAGCTATGAATCTTTTTGTGTGGATTGCGTGCCACTAACAATAATAATATTTTTGGGGTTCAGACAGATTTTAAGAAATATGTCTATTTGTTATTTAACTACGAAATAATAAATGAATTATGTTAATGTTACTTTCGAAATTTAAACCAAAGTTAAGATATAAATATATTTTTATTTTCATTTATAATAAGAAGAGAGACAGATAGATAGATAGATAGATAGATAGATAGATAGATAGATAGATAGATAGATAGATAGATAGATAGATAGATAGATAGATAGATAGACAGATAGACAGATAGACAGATAGACAGATAGACAGACAGACAGACAGACAGACAGACAGACAGACAGACAGACAGGCAGACAGACAGATAGATAGATAGATAGATAGATAGATAGATAGATAGATAGATAGATAGATAGATAGATCGATAGATAGATAGCTAGATAGATAGATAGATAGATAGAGATAGCTCGATAGATAGATAGATAGATAGTCATAGATAGATCGATAGCTATAGATCTAGATCGATCGCTAGCTCGATCGCTCGCTCGCTCTCTCTCGCTCGCTCGCT